TTTTCTCAGAGTATATTCTTGCATTATTATTTTTTAACTAGAGGCCCGATGCACGAAAATCATGCAAGGGCTTCAGCCCTTGCAGCCCTTGCGGCTTCATCTGGAAGGTCGTCTGGAAGAATGTCCAAAAGGTCGTTTGGCTGTCCAATCTAATTAGTATATTATACTTTTATTAATATAGATTACTATATTAGTTAATGAATAGCTGTAGATTTACTATTGCCCCACCTTGTATATACTATATATTGAGTAGAAAAAATTTTGTTAAAGCTAACAAAACAAAACAAAATTATAAAAGTCAAAATAAATTAAGAGTATTTTTATAAGATAAATAAAAACTTTATTCTAATTTTTTTAATCAATTCACTATATTCAGTCCTTTCTCCCTTTGAATTGTGGAATAATATTCTCTGAACAACTGAGAGCTTTCAGCCACTGTTCCTTTGTGTGTGTTGTGTGTTTATCTGCAATGTGACAAATTGTATTCACATTTGCTTCCCACAATATTCACAATTTCTTTCCGTTTCATTTTTCAGACAAACTTCAGAAGGACTTTGGTAAATTGGTTCTGACATCCCTTTACTCCCAAACACTTTAAAATGACTGCTTTCCTGATGTCTCTCATATTTCCTGCCTTTGTATTGATAAGCCATTCATTGCTTAACACTTGTCCCTGATGTCTTCTAACCTAACAGAGATTTCCTCTTGAATCAGGGGTTCAATATTATTCAAATCAATTTTTGTTGCAACTATAATACATGGCATGACTATTGCAAACATAAGACATGGAAATAGGCAGGGTCAAATGTAGCTTTACAGTTTTGAGTACATGAAATTCAGAGTATATTCTTGCATTATTATTTATTTATTACTATATTACTTAATGAACAGCTATAGATTTACTTTTGCTCCACTTTAAATATATATTGAGTAGCAAAGTACTTGTTAAAGTTAACAAACCAAAAAATGTATAAAAAAGTAAAATAAAAAATTAAGAGTATTTTTATAAGATAACTAGCAAAATTCTATTCCAAAGTGCTTTTTCTTAATTAACTGTATTCAGTCCTTTCTCCCTTTAAATTGTGGAACAATATTCTCTGAGCAAATGAGAGCTTTCAGCCACTGTTCCTTTGTGTGTGTTGTGTGTTTATCTGCAATGTGACAAATTGTATTCACATTTGCTTCCCACAATATTCACAATTTCTTTCCGTTTCATTTTTCAGACAAACTTCAGAAGGACTTTGGTAAATTGGTTCTGACATCCCTTTACTCCCAAACACTTTATTTCC